TCTCTCAGTAATAAATAGACGTTAAAAAAATTCCAAAAAAAACCGCTAAAAACAGCATAGTCACATAGCCAGCAATCCCGCTTCTGGGTACGCACCCGCAAAAATTGAAAGTAGAGACGCAGAGAGATATTTGTTTATAGCAGCATTATTCACAAGACCCAACAAGTAAAAGCAACCCAAGTGTCCACGGATGGACAAATGGACAAATGGGGTGTCTATCATCATTCGGCCTCCACAAGGAAGGCAACTCGGACACCTGAGTGAACCTCCACGACATCGTGCTAAGTGAAACCAGCCAGTCACAAAAGGACAAATACATTAGATTCCATTTACATAAAATAGATTCATAGAGACAGAACGTGGAATGCTGGATGCCAGACGCTGACGAGAGACGAAAACGGAAAGGTGCAGACTTCCTGTTCGGGACGACCAAAGGGTTCTGGAAATATAGCGGCGATGGTCATGCACCATCGCGAACGTACCTAAGGCTGCTGAACTATATACACTTGGAATGGTGAAAATGGTAAATGGTACGTTTATTCTACCACAAGAAAAAAGTTTTTAATTTTTTTTTTTCTCTATCCCTGTACGTCTCAAAGCTTGGAAATATTTGTTCACAAGGGAGATTTTCTCAAACGTGATGCGTGCTCCTGCTCTCTTAAACAGAGCATAGCGATCATGACCTAAACATCTCCCGGGGGTCAGCATGGTCGGCTGGGCTGAAATACAGGCGGTTCTGAAAGTCGGTTCGATGTGTTACCAAAGGCACTCACCCTGCCTGCCTGTCCACTTCTTTGTCCGGTGACCGGTATTCCTCTGTCTCCTCCCTAGTTTCCTGCATCTAGCAAGGTCAGCATTTCCTTTCACATCTGTTGTTTTATGTTCTAAATCTACAGCAAGTGGAGAAAGCAGCGAGGCAAGCGGGCTCCAGTGGGGTGCGGTGTTAAGAATTTTCAGGCTCCTAGGGGCGCCTGGGTGGCTCAGTCAGTTAAGCGTCCGACTTTGACTCGGGTCATGATCTCACGGTTCATGGGTTCGAGCCCCGCGTCGGGCTCTGTGCCGACAGCTCAGAGCCTGAGGTCTGCTTCAGATTCTGTGTCTCCCTGTCTCTCTGTCCCTCCCCCTCTTGTGCTCTGTCTCTCTCTCTCAAAAATAAATATTAAAAACAAAAACAAGGGGCGCCTGGGTGGCGCAGTCGGTTGAGCGTCCGACTTCATCCAGGTCACGATCTCGCGGTCCGTGGGTTCGAGCCCCGCGTCAGGCTCTGGGCTGATGGCTCAGAGCCTGGAGCCTGTTTCCGATTCTGTGTCTCCCTCTCTCTCTGCCCCTCCCCCGTTCATGCTCTGTCTCTCTCTGTCCCACAAATAAATAAAAACGTTGAAAAAAAAATTAAAACAAAAACAAAAACAAAACATAAAAGAATTAACAGGCTCCTTACAAAGCAGGTGGGGCCTCCGCACCAGCCCTGTACCAACCATTGTCGTGCAGGCACCGTGGCCTCAAACCCAAGTCCCATGACTCCCAAGCATTGGTGAGCCCTCACTGCAGTGGAACAAGTCCAAATTCACCTTGCCATCTGACCCCAACCTATTCTCCCAGCTCATTGCATGTACATCCCCCACACCCCCTTTATGTGATATCCATGGTTCCTTTCATAACCCAATACTCCAGGGACTGGCATAGCCCCAAATTCTCCCCAAAGCTTCTCGTTCTTCCTCATTCTCACCCAAGTCCAAATTCAAATACCACCTTGGTTGGCCCCATACCAGCCTGTCCCCAGGCTCTCTCCCAGCCCTGAATTGATCACTCCCTCCTCAGGATCCCCAGTGTATTTATTCCTGTCTTGGGCAGTCTTTGCATTAAGAACTGGCTGCTTGTGGGACGCCTGGGTGGCGCAGTCGGTTAAGCGGCCGACTTCAGCTCAGGTCACGATCTCGCGGTCCGTGAGTTCAAGCCCCGCATCGGGCTCTGGGCTGATGGCTCAGAGCCTGCAGCCTGCTTCTGATTCTGTGTCTCCCTCTCTCTCTGCCCCTCCCCTGTTCATGCTCTGTCTCTCTCTGTCTCAAAAATAAATAAAACATTAAAAGAAAAAAATTAAAAAAAAAACAACAACTGGCTGCTTGCTCAGAAGGAGGCTGTGGGCAGAGCAGGCACGTAGACATGTACAGGGTCATATGCGACACACCAGATCCCGGTGAACGGCCTGACTTTCCCGCTATAAGACAGTGTCTTTGTATCCCAATGTCTTGAATAGGGAGGCATTCAGGAACTGTTTATTAAATTGAAATGAATTATTGAGAATACAATACAGATTAAGCATCTAAATTTAGATTACCTGAAAAAATAGATAAGAGGAAATTGTATCGGAACCACTGATTAACCAAACTTAATCCAATTCATGTTTATGAACCTAGAGATCCTTTCAGCGTGTGAAAGTCTAATTAATGAGTTGGAAAGACATTTTGAGGCAGAAAGAACACCCATGCCCCTTCTTACATGTACCAAGCCCCTTTGTACCTGTCCCAGGTAGGAAAAGACATGGTGTCAGTAAACTTGAAATTCCCTTCCCATGAGTTTTTCCACTTTTCCGTCTTCACAAGGTGCAGGGGATCCCAAGTGTTTCAAAAGCAAAATATTATGCATGTATCTCTACTGTAGACAGCATCACTTTGGATTATTACTATTCTTCTTGGTTAAAATTTCTTTTTCCCCAGCCTGACTAAACTCCTTAAGAGCAGGGGCACTGTGCCTGCCACACGATAAGTGCTCAACATATTACTGAAGAAGTGGATGGATGGATGGATGGATGGATGGATGGATGGATAGATGGATGGATGGATGGATGGATAGGTGGATGGATGGATGGATAGATGGATAGGTGGATGGATGGATGGATGGATGGATAGGTGGATGGATGGATGGATGGATGGATGGATGGATGGATGGATAGGTGGGTGGATGGATGGAAGGTTGGATGGATAGATGGATGGATGGATGGATGGATAGATGGATGGATGGATGGATGGATGGATAGGTGGATGGATGGATGGATGGATGGATGGATGGATGGATAGGTGGATGGATAGATGGATGGATGGATGGATGGATGGATGGATGGATAGGTGGATGGATGGATGGATGGATGGATAGATGGATGCACGACAGACAGACACATATTTTATTTTCAACAGTTGATATGAACTCTTGCCTTTCTTACCTCCCCCACAGGCAGAATGACAGCTCCATTTCTGGGCTAAGCAGAAAGGATGGGCCAGCCTGAAAACTAATGTTTTGATCCTTTTCACAGTTGCCTCCTTAGTACATCTTCCTCTTAAACAACATTGGCCCTTGGGTGTAAGAAAAAGGAGAAGAGGAGATCATTTTGCTCAGTGTTCCCACCTGTTCTTTCCAAAGTAGTTTTTATGAGGAGTATTTTTTTTTAAGTGTATTCATTTTTGAGAGAGAGAGAGAGCGTGAGCAGAGGAGGGGCAGAGAGACGGACAGAGAGAGAGAGAGAGAGAGAGAGACGCAGAATCCAAAGCAGGCTCCAGGCTCTGAGCTGTCAGCACAGAGCCCGACATGGGGCTCGAACTCACGAACTGCGGGATCGTGACCTGAGCCGAAGTTGGATGCTTAACCGACCAAGCCACCCCGGTGCCCCTATGAAGAGTATTTCTAAAGTTTGATTTCATTTATATGTTTTTAAATAGGTAATGTGCTCACAAGATGTAAAATTCAAATGGTTGAAAGGGATACAAATGAAAAGTTCTATCCGGTTCCCATCCTCAATATAAACATTGACTATTCTCTTGGGTTTCCTGCTACAGATCATCTTAGCTTATAAAGGGAAATCCATACTTTCTTCTTTTTTAAGCAAACGGAAGCACACCACATCCCACCTTTTCTCAACCTTGGCTGTACATTAAAATCATGTGGGGGGGGGCGCCTGGGTGGCGCAGGCGGTTAAGCGTCCGGCTTCAGCCAGGTCACGATCTCGCGGTCCGTGAGTTCGAGCCCCGCGTCAGGCTCTGGGCTGATGGCTCAGAGCCTGGAGCCTGTTTCCGATTCTGTGTCTCCCTCTCTCTCTGCCCCTGCCCCGTTCATGCTCTGTCTCTCTCTGTCCCAAAAATAAATAAACGTTAAAATCATGTAGGGGGAAAAACCATTTGGGGAAGCTTTTCAGAAAGCTTTAAATCAGAATCTCTAGGGGAGGGACTGAGCCATCAGTATTTTTAAAAACTCCCCAGGTGTGCATCCCGAATCAAGAAGGACTGCCTACACTTTATTCTGCAGCAGACTTTTTTGTCTAACAATATGTCTTCTAGATCTGTCCACACTAGTCTGTAGGAATTCCCTTTTTAATTTTTTTATATTTACAATGTTCTAAATATTTATTTGTTTTTGAGAGAGCACGAGCAGGGGAGGAGCAGAGAGAGAGGGAGGCACAGAATCCGAAGCAGGCTCCAGGCTCTGAGCTGTCAGCACAGAGCCTGACACGGGCCTGGAACCCACAAACCATGAGATCATGACCTGAGCCAAAGTCGGACACTTAACTGACTGAACCACCCGGGCGCCCCTATTTTATTTTTTAAGTTTGTTTATTTACTTTGGGAGAGAGACAGAGAGTGAGTGGAGGTAGGGGCAGAGAGAGAGAAGGAGAGAGAGAATTCCAAGCAGGCTCAACACTGTCAGCACAGAGCCCGATGAGGGGCTCGAAGTCACAAACTGTGAGAACTCATGAACCCTGAGATCGTGACCTGAGCCGAAGCCAAGAGTCGGACGCTTAACCGACTGAGCCACCCAGGGTGCCCTTGAATGCTTTTTCTTTAAAGGGCATTCCACTGGATAGCTGGAATACGAGGGCATTTATGAGTATCAGGTTGTTTCCAATATTTTGCTCTTACAACAGTGCTGTAATGAATAACATTTTACACTTATCATTTTGTGCAGATGCATATATATCACATATATTGCAAATGACATATACCTTATATGTGCAGGATAAAGCCCTACAAGTGACACTGCTGAGTCAAAACACAAGGATATTCACCATTTTGCTACATATTTGTGATTTTGCTGCGCATGATTTTACTGAAGACTTCATCCTAAATATTTGGTAGGTATCACTAGCTAGCTGCCCTGTGAGGATTAATTATTAAACCAGGTTCACAAAGAGTTTTTAAAGTGGAAAAGTGTGATTGCATTTTAGAGCCATATACACCAGGGCGTAACTACTATACTCAGGCTTAAATTTCAAAAAGTGAGTACAGATTGGGGGTGCAGATCTTTTCCGTAGTTAGGGTTACCAGTGCCTTTCCTGATATGGATGGTTGGCGGCTCGGTTTCTTGTTCTTTCTTGCCATTAAAGAGTTTTGTTCTCAGAAAGGAAACAATATGTGCTCTTTGATGTGGCTCGGGGAAAAAAGAGGCCAACACCACATTTTAAAATGCTTTGTGAAACGGCTCTTTAGAAGAAAGGGCTCACAGAGAGCTACGGCTCAAAAAAGGGAAGGTTTTTAGAGCACTTGAAGAAGTTCTGACTCTAGAGGAATTCTCGTATTTAAAAAAAAAACAAAACACAAAAGCAAATCATGGAAAATGCAGACACAATTATTCTCTCTCTGATGGGACTCACTCTCCAGCCCCAGTGGATCTTCTCTTTGAGGAGATGACAGAAGACAGTAAATGAAGCCCTGAAACAGAAACACCCTTGTGCAAAGGCTTGTGTTTCTAGGAGCAAAGAACAGGAGCCCTTTGGGAAGCTTCCACGTTTTTCTTTTTATTATTTTTTTTTAATCTTGATTTATTTTTGAGAGAGAGAGACAGAGCCTGAGCAGGGGAGGAACAGAGAGAGAGGGAGACACAGAATCCAAAGCAGGCTCCAGGCTCCAAGCCGTCAACACAGAGCCCGTCGCGGGGCTTGAACTCACGAACTGAGCGATCACGACCTGAGCTGAAGTTGGACGCTTAAACGACTGAGCCACCCAGGCGTCCCGAAAGTTTCCACATTTTTAGATGGTTGAAGATTCTCGCCTGTAACATTCGTCTCTCCTGCTTTCTCCTCCTCCTTTGAGAGACAGACAGACAGATAGACACAGAGAGAGCCAGAGACAAACACCAAGAAAGAGATGTGCAGATAGATACAGGGGGAAACAGAGAAAGATTTTCCTTTGGCTATGACATGTTTTTAAAATAGCTGTCAAGACAATGCTGAAAGAAATGGACCGTAATAAAACAGGTCATGTCCATGTCAGATTGAGTTTTATGGTATTCCTCTATTTCCTGAAGAAATTCAAGCATCATTAGTCTTTGAATAGTTTATCAGTCGAGGTTGTTTGATAGCACTAGAAATTGACTCATGAACTGAAGGCCAAAAGGTGGGGGGGGGGGGGTTGTTTCAGTGACACCGAACTGCTCACAGAGTTGAAAGCAGGAGCCAGGACCGATCTGGGGAACACCGTGCCAAAGGCTCATAAGGAGTTTCTATTGGAGATCTTGCCATCACGTGATTTTTTTCAGACTTCTAGAAACATAATCTGGTTGGTTTGGCTTCATCATCGGCCCACCTCCTGCGGTCAGGGGCAGCTGGGGCTCACACCAGGGAGGGTGTGGGAAGTTGGGAAATAACCCCTGAGCCCCCAGCCACTTATGCCCATGGATATTGGATCTGGGGGAAATAGCGATTCAATACTGAAATGCTATCACAGCTTAGGACTTTGCTCTTCCTGAAAATGCTTAGGAGTCTGATTAGGATTTGGACTGGACAAAGCAGTGGCAGAAGTCCCTTGCGAGACGGAGGGCGTACTGAACACGCCTCAATCTCCTGGGCCACGCCGATCATTTTTTAAAAGTGGGCACATAAAAAGCAGGGTGCAGATAGTTGCACGCCCGTGCTCACAGCAGCATTATTCGCAGCAGCTGAAAGGTGGAAACAACTCAAGTGCCCACGGACAGATGGAAGGATAAACAAAATGTGGCACACACACACAGTGGAATATTATTCAGCCTTAAACAGGAGGGAAATTCTGACAGACGCTGCAGCTTTGTGAGATAAGCCACTTACTAAAGGACAGATATTGTATAATTCCACTTACACGAAGTCCCTAAAACGGTCAGATTTTTAAAAATTTTTTTATAAATTTTTTTTTTTAATTTTTTTTTTCAATGTTTATTTATTTTTGGGACAGAGAGAGACAGAGCATGAACGGGGGAGGGGCAGAGAGAGAGGGAGACACAGAATCGGAAACAGGCTCCAGGCTCTGAGCCATCAGCCCAGAGCCCGACGCGGGGCTCGAACTCACGGACCGCGAGATCGTGACCTGGCTGAAGTCGGACGCTTAACGGACTGCGCCACCCAGGCGCCCCTATAAATTTTTTTTAATGTGTATTTATTTTTGACAGAGAGAGAGAGAGCGTGAGCTGGAGAGGGGCAGAGAGGGAGAGAGAGACACAGAACCCAAAGCGGGCTCCAGACTCTGAGCTGTCAGCACAGAGCCCAATGCGGGTCTCGAACTCACAGACCGTGAGATCGTGGCCTGAGCCGAAGTCATTCGCTCAACCGACTGAGCCACCCAGGCGCCCCTAAAGTGGTCAGATTTATAGAGACAGCAGGTAGAAGGGTGGTTGCCAGGGGCTGGGGGTGGGAGGAGAGAACGGTGGGGGGCATGGTTTAACAGGTGGAGAGTGTCAGCTGTGCAAGATAAAGAGGGCTCTGGGGGCACCTGGGTGTCTCAGTCGGTTGAGCGCCCGACATGGGCTCGGGTCATGATCGCACAGTTTGTGAGTTCAAGCCCCACATCGGGTTTGCTGCTGTCCGCGCAGAACCCGCTTCAGATCTTCTGTTCTCCTCTCTGTCTCTCCCCAGCACACACTCTCACACTCAAAAATAAATAAAACATTTTTTTTTCTTAAAAAAATTTCTGCAGACGGACGGCGGTGACAGTTTGCACAAGGATGTGAATGCCACGTGTGTGCTTAACGCCACTAATCGTGCGCTTAAAAAGGGGTGAAACAGCAAAAGGTAACGTCCTATATCGTTCACTACAGTACGAAGAAGGAAGCAGTGTCTGAAAGCCGAGATGCCAGCAGCATGAATAAGGAGTGTATAAAGGACGTGAAATTAAAGTCTGTATTTCTAAACAGGGCTCCCTTTTCCGTGGCGTTCTTTCTGCAAGGGGTTGCCTTGGCTGCTTCCAAGCGTTGTACTTGATCATTCTTTAATTTAGAGAATAAAAAATTCATGAGTTTTAAAGAAAGACGTCAAAGGCAGAAAGTGACTTCTTTTTTGTATGCGTTACAAGTCCAGCTAATAATCCGAAACCCCCCTGCACCCACACAGGCTTTTCATACTGGATTGCTCTGCAGAGCCCCGGGGGGTGGGGGGGTGGGCGGGAATTAAAACTTTATGACCCAGAGCACTATTTCGTTTCCTTTCTAAACTAACCTCAGGAAAGGCCACCCACGCAGGCTTGTGCAGACAGAGCAAGACTTAACTATGAACTGAAACAACCGTACTGCTGCTTCCTCTATGGTGAAAAAACAAGAGAAGAAAAATGCGAAAGCAGACCGAATACAATTGAAATACATAACGACTGCTGGTTTTCGTCTTAATAATTTACAGTGGGTGAAATGGTGAGGTTATCGATAGTCTTTCGTGAGGTGACTTCAAAATGATACTTATTACCCCTCTTTCTGGTTTGTTCCTTCGCCACTTATTGGCCCTGCTGCCCAGAGGACCTCCCAGCCCTCCCCGTCCTGAAACAATTCACATCCAGCAAGATCTTCTCAAAAGTCTTTCTATAAAAAGTCTTTGCTATAAAGTCCTTTTGGCTCTCCTCAGATCTCTTCCTCCAGTGAACAGCTAGGACGCTAATTACTTTCTTTTCCATGGCGCATAGGACTTGGGGCTATCAGAGTATAATTTTCAAAAAGCTAAAAACCCGACTCTCAGACAAATATAGAACGAACACGTGTCAATTATTTATGTAGCGAATTCACGAGGGTGCTAGGAGGATGGTAAAGCCGATTCAAAGGAGAATTCGATGAACAGATGTCTGAGTAGTCTGTCAGGAAAGACATCCTAAAATAAATGTTCAAAGCTACAGACTAAACTGGTTAGTGGCCTATGGGCCAAGAAAGCTATAACCTCTGGAGTTATCCTCCCTCGTCTTGGAAATCTACAAGTCTTGGAAATCTACAAGTTAACGTGTAGCTTCGGAGAACTTGGGCATTCGTTATCAGCAGATAGCACCACAAACAACAGTACATCTCCTAAAGAATTAAATAAAATTTGGGAGGACCTTGGGCTGGACACTGCTCCCCTATGCTATTGAAAGGATGTGCAGTCATCCTTTTACCTTATATCAAAGATTTTGAATCCATTTTCTTGGCCAGGTCAATCACTCCGTTTTATAAGAAGAGACGGAATCTTGGAGAGATTAGCTAACTTGCCCAAGATCGCACAACTGGTGAGGAGCTGAGCTGGAGCTTAAAATTAGGTCTGGACAGCCACAGCACAGGACTTCTCCAAAAGCAGACTAAAGAGCCACGGGCGGGTGACCCATAGAGGGCGGTGTCAGCAGAGGACACGCCTCACCGGTGTGTGGCACACGGGGATCCAAGGGATACAAATGCTTACTAATCATCAAGAAAGTCCGTGAGCTACACAGAGCACCTCTGATCCCACTGGTGATATACAAACAGCTAAGAAGCATAGAGCTAATGGATCTTAGGTGTCATTAAGCCAAAGAGTTCTATGATTCTGTGTCTTATTTCGTCAGTTGGATTATAACTTTGAGACCACGTATTTAGCACTCAGAGATTTACTCAGTAAGTATTTGCATCTATGGCAGATTATATTTTCCAGAGATAGCCACACCTGCATATGTATCCCATCTCATATGCTCTTCCTACAATGGGACTGTCTCTCCTACCAGAGGAAGCAAAGTTTCCCCCAACACCTTGTATCTGGGCGGTCGGAGATGCTTGTCCTTGGAACCCAACCACCATTTTGCGAGGAAGCCCAAGCTACATACAGAGACCAAGTGTGGATGTTCTGACCAACATCCTTTCCCCCTCACCGCCACCCACCAACAGCCATCCTCATGGTCATGAGGCCTCAGACATGAGAATGAACAGACAGTCAGATGATTTCGACCCACAGGCTTTCCAGTCTTCCAGCTGAGACATAGGAGCAGAGGCCGATTATCCCTGCTGCGTGCCCTGTCTGAATTCCTAACCCACGGAAACCAAGAGTAATGACAGATAATTTTTGGTTTGCTTTGGTTTGTTTGAAGCTACTATGCCTTGGAGTCGTTTCTTACGCAGTCGCAGGTAATTAATATATCGTATTCTTGACACTGTAGCATTAACAGTTTCAACTTTTCATCAGGGGCTCAAATGTAAATGTCCTGTCGTGCTTCGTTGACTTCGTTGAGCTACAAATTTGTACTTTGCTCACTGAGAGCAGGTGCGCTGTGTTCCATGTAGACATGACATGGCCTTGTCCACCATGATGATATTTCAGGGGCGTCAGGCTGGCTCAGAAGAGCATGTGACTTTTGATCTCAGGGTCATGAGTTCGAGCCCCATGTTTGGTATACGGATTGCTTAAATAAATTAAAAAAAAAAAAAAAAAAAAGATGATGCTATTTTAGCCAGTGGTCCATACTGTGCCTGAGGACATTCAATGGGGACTGTTTTGCTGGAGTGAAGATGTGCACGTTTGTAGCCTTATGAAGGTCTCTGGATGCATTCGCCCAAAATCTCAGTGGTCAGCTGTGCTTCCTTGTGTTTCCCAGCTCCCAGCAGAGAAGTTCCCAACATGTGAGATCTGAGATTTCTCAAGTTCTCCGCCCAAGAACCTCAGGTCAGGAGAAAAATAAATTAAACAGACCTCTGGTTCAAGCAGCCATTAGCACAGCCTGACTCAGAGCCTTTGACTTCGGGGACACAGAAGCCGATGAAGTTGTTTTCTCAGGAAGAGACGTAATTTAGATAAAGCGTGCTTTCAGGAATATTCTTTAAGAGCATGAGCGCAATAAATTACTATAAAGAGCGGATTTTAAAGATTCCTTGATTTATACGATTCTACTCCCCTCCGCTGGAGGCTGTATTTTTAAAATGATAGCAAACAACAGCCACCACCACCGCAAGAAAGGCAGGCAGCAAAACCTAGCCGCTAGGAAATCAGGCTTGTTTCTGCCATTTACCGGCACCATCATTTCTCTGAGTCTCAGTGTCTTTGCTGTAAAATGGGGCTACTAATAATCTACCTCCTAGAGTTGTCCTTAGGATTAAATAGGCAAATGCATGGAAAACCCTTAGCACAGTGTCTGTCACACAATGAGACAGTAGGAACTGTTTTTCTGACCATTTTCCCGTATCCTCCTTGCATTTCGTCCATCCGTGTGTTTCTCGCCCGTGTCCCCCGCTGGAACGTGAACTCCAGGCCGGCAGGAACCTGTTCAGTTCCTTAGATATTTCTGAGGCCTGGGACGGTGGCTACCACGGGGTAGGTGCTGAATAAATAAATGACCCATTTTTCTTGACTTCTGTATCACTGTATAAACAAACTGTTACTGATAGTAATACGAATAATAATAGCTGTGAAATGAATTAAACAAGGAGGCCATCAGACCCAGGTGGCTCTTAATGCCAGGGTGACCCACGTAAGCAAACCAAAATCCAAGCCTGTAAATGGCTCAAGTTGACGAAATTGAAACCTAAGGACAACCCACCACCAACAGCCATCTAGGCCTTGAGCGGTAGCCGATCAATCATTTGGGGTCACTTTTTTTAACAGTCTATCTACTCTGAGAGAGACAGAGCGAGAACAGGGAAGGGGCAGAGAGAGAAGGAGAGATGGAGAATCCCAAGCCGGCTCCGTGTGGTCAGCGCAGAGTGGGACACGGGGCTCAAACCCCCGTGAGACAGTAGAGTCAGATGCTTAAGCAACTGAGCCACCCACGTGCCCCTTGATCAATGTTTGTGTTATTAATCTCTTACTGTGCCTTATTTATTTATTTTATTATTATTATTTTTTTAATGTTTATTTATTTTTGAGACAGAGAGAGACAGAGCATGAACGGGGGAGGGGCAGAGAGAGAGGGAGACCCAGAATCCGAAGCAGGCTCCAGGCTCCGAGCCATCAGCACAGAGCCCGACGCGGGGCTCGAACTCGCGGACCGCGAGATCATGACCTGAGCCGAAGTCGGCCGCTTAACCGACTAAGCCACCCAGGCGCCCCAACTGTGCCTAATTTATAAATTAAACCTTATCATAGGTATGTATGTCCAAGAAAAAAAACATAGTATGCATAGGGTTGGATGCTACCAGCAGTTCAGGAATCCACTGGGGGTCTTGGAACATATCCCCTGTGGATAAGGGGACACCACTGTCTATTTCTCGACTTTTCCAAAGCTTCCTGTTGATTGGGTTGTGTAACTACCTAAGTCCAGAGACTCTGAGAAGCATATTATAAGGCAGAGACTCTTAGTTCCTGGCAATATGTGTTTTTCTCATCTTTCCTAGTGGTAAGACTTTTATCCGAGGACATAGTCACTCAGCACAATGATTACATTTGCTGACCTCCCTGGCAGTCACGTGTGGCCACGTGGCTAACTTCTGGCCAATGGGATGGATGCTGTGAAGACTCTGTAGCTCACCACCGCTTCTCTTGTCTCTTCTTCATCATTCCTCTTGCGTCCTGGTGTTGGGAATTCTGATGCCTCCATGTTGGACCATAAGGACTGGTCCCTGAAGACTTCTTGAAGCAGATTGCTTACTTCTTCAATTTGTCTATCTGGTTAAGCAACTGTGATTTGGGGTTTTCTGTCGCTCTCAGGCGAGCTGATTCATTATTAATTCAGTGGCAAACGGTGGAAATCAGCACGCAAGTAGGTGACGTTTGGTGACAAAATTGGTAACTACACAGCTTAGCTCACATTGCCTCCTACGGACAAGAAAGGCAGTAATGGTGACAGCTTGCTTTTTATAGTGCTTTATCATTTCAAAGCGTTTCAAACATATTTTCCCTTTTGATCTTCATCAGAAACTCCTGGGCCAGAGAAATAAAAGGACTGTGGGGTTGGCTTCGAAACTGAAAGCTATGTTCTCCCGGCCCTGGGGGCACAGTTTTTTCTGCCATGTCTCACCATCTGGGCTGACTGAACACAATTACCAGTGGCATGGTAGAGGACTGAGATTTTCCTTTCGTGTTTTTTTTTTTTTATAAATTTCTCAAATT